CTGTGTATTTTCCTCCAGACGCGACTACCAGTCACCGACCATTTGATGCACGTCGGTCAACTTCTGCTCATCGCCCTTCTATCTTTCCGAGGCTTAGTCACTGCAGTCAGTCGCGAGAGAGAACTCACAGCCACAGTTCCAGAGGCATGAGCTGCGTTACCGTCGAACATTTTAAGACCAAATCTCTGTCTTCCAAGTGAAAGTGAACTATCTTTTTTAGATGGCGTCAGTGTGCTTGCCCTTGATGGAACTGGAGGAGCAGCTTTATCTGTTATTAGCGAAGAGCTATGCCAATTTCAAAAATGTGACCACTCACCTTACCGATATCTTTTCGCGAACGGCTATGTCATACCATAATCAGGCGTCGAGATTGCGCGCCACGCGCATTGCTAGTGCAGTTGTCCAGTATGTCGTCGAATTCATTGTCCTGTTCCGTTCCAGACACGATGTTATTCCCGTATGGGATTCCCTATCGTCAAACTCTGCCTTAGTGGACTACGCCCGTTCTGAACTAACGTTATCTGTACCATGCTTTGACACAGAATACCACCAATATGGTAAAGTGTTTGCAGTTTCGCACGTCTTCATTGCGCAGTTCTTCGCCGCGCACATTCCTCTCTCCATTTCCACTGTTCCGACGGCACCTCTTCTGTTTACGCCGTAAACCAGTACCGCATGCATTCGGAGTGTCTTGCTGCCATTCGCGATTGTATCAATGTACAATAGTTATCTGAGATGTACATGTGTAACCTTCCACTAGTACTTGATTAGTACTCCGTGGGGAATGTCTCAGAGACTACGAAGCTTTATACTGTGTTTTCCCCGTTGCTATGCCCGACACTGTGGTGTTAGTCTCAATGTGTGCCGGGACATCTCCTACTGCGACATCTGGCCATAATACGTTCTCTCTAACGCAATAGAAATGGAGGTTATGTCTAGCAATATGAAAAATTCGTTGACCTTCTACAGCGTTTTCGTGCTTTATTCGATAACGATCAGCCATCTTTAGGCGGAAAATCAACAGTCATTTTCGCCAGCTACTACGGCAGCCCCACTACGAGAGCACGCATACCGTGTATCCTCTGCTGAACGCAGTGTCATCATGCAACGTGCCCATCTAAATATTTCTGTGTTTCGCCGGTAGTCCTCTTTAAGAAAGAAGTACAGCATATGCATGGAGGGAGTGATGATAAGTGAGGAGATGCGTCCGTGAGTACGTCTGTTCGTCCGTCTGTCTGTCTGCCCGTTCATCCGTGCACGTGCCTGCGTCTATCAGTCAGTGCGTCTATCCCTCCTTCCGTCTCTTCTCAAAAGATATACACAGGCTATAGAAATCGCGAAGAAAACCTTATCCCAAAAATCTTTCAAAAAATATATCAAAGCTTACCTTCTATCTTATTCTGAAGATTGATAAGTTGTGTATATATCAGTCATATGTCTCTGTGGTTTCGTTAATTGTGTTACTACTCTTTATTTATTACTGTACAAGTATGTATTTTGTTCACTCTGTATAAAAAGCAATGTTATGCGTGTAATATTGGTGTGTTATTTGAATCTCTTTGACCATGCTCTGAGTGGTGCATTCGACTGCTGGGGTGCCGTCAGGCAAAGCACAATCACCTTTTGCCCTTGTATCCGAAGCATACAAGGGCAAAATAGAGAACTTATTGAATATTTGATTGCTTGGCAAGAAATTGCGCACGTTTTTACGTTCGAGTAGTACTTCGATTTTTTTGTGTGCTAGCACTCAGGTCGCCAAGATGGCTCCCTTATTGCGCGAAAGTTATTGTAATGAACGTAGTGCACACGCGGCTTGGGAAGAGAAGGATGACGACAAGCGATCGCTAGCCACGCTGATCGTTAGCCCTTGTTGTAGTAAAACTTGTGTCCAGTGGTCGCGACTTCTGCTTTTAACACACCTATGTTTTATTGATTGATTGATTCATATGTGGGTTTTAACGCCCCAAAACCACCATAAGATTTTGGGAGACGCCGTAGTGGAGGGTCCCGGAAATTTTAGACTACCTGGGGTACTTTAACGTGCACCCGAATCTGAGCACATGGGCCACCCATGTTTGAATGCTACCACGATGACCTGCGGAGACATACATCGATAGCATTGTCGTCAGTGTGTGGTTGAGGCACTCAGTGAGTCCTTTTGTTGGTATGTGGTAGACAGTGGTGAGTTTATGACATGTAGAACAGGAGCGAAGAATGTTGTCCAGGACCTTAGAGAGGAACGAACGACAACGGTTGGTCTGCTGTTGACGCTGCGCTCCATGGTGGAGAATAACGTCGTGAAGAAGAAAGTCCGCGACATCAGAAGCACAGCTTGGTGGTAGCGCTCACGTCATATGGTATACTGTGTCGCATAGTACGTAGCCATCACTACCCACTTATTCCCAATATGAGACGTTGGGAATGGTCTAATGAGATTGAGGCCGACGCGGTATAACGGGTCTGTCTGAATGTCTATAGGCTGATGTGGGCCAGGCGGCACCAAGGAAGGATGCTTGTGGCGCTCGCAGGACTCAAAATATGCAACCTGTTTGTGCACAGAGCGGTAAAGGCCGGGCCAGAAGAATTGATGCCGTACGCTGTGATACGTGCGGGCTGCTCCGAGATGTCCAGTGGTTGCGGCATCAGTTGTTCGAGCATAGTGGAACGGAGCATTGCAGGAACTACTAGAAGAAGCTTTTGGCCTTCAGCACTTGTGTTGCGCCGATAGAGCATTCCGTCACGGAGCTTGAACAAGGTAATGGAAGGATCTGATAAGTCAGAAGCTAGACGGCGTATTATGGACCGTGAATTATCATCACTTAGGTTTTCACTACGTATGTCTATGGAATCAGAAATGGTGAAGACACAGGAATAAAATCATGCGCTGGCAAGTCAGGGTATTGATGGGATGGCGAGATAGACAGTCGGCATCTTGGGGCATTCGGCCAGACCTACAGGTGCCGTCAAAGCTATATTCCTGTAGCTTTAATTCCACACGACACGGGCGTTCAGAAGGATCTTTGAGGGAGGACAACCGGCACAGGGCCTGGTGATCTGTGGTGACCGAAAAGTGGCGGCTGAACAAGTATGGGCCGAATTTACCAATTGACCATGCGAGAGCAAGGCACTCGCGCTCAGTGATGGAAAACTTGGACTCGAATTGGGTAGAGGAGGCGACTTGCGTAGGTGATTGCTTGATTTTGAATTTGTTGCCGCTGGGCGTGAATGGCGTCAATACCGTGTCCGCTGGCGTCAGTGCGAACTTCAGTGGGCGCTGAAGAATCGAAATAACCCAAGATGGTCGGGGAAGTGGGCAATGCAGTAAGTCGGCAAAACGCCTTGGCTTGCTGGGGACCCCAATAAAACAGCGTGTCAATCTTCAGTAGCTGTGTCAAAGGAGGGCCAGTGCCGATGAAATTGTGGAGGAAACGCCAGAAATAGAAACAGAGGCCAGAAAAGCTCCATAAATCTTTCGTAGATTATGATATGGGAAAATATTTGGCCACGTGAGTTTGGTGGGGATCAAATTTCACGCCTTGAGCGACGACAAAATGGCCTAGCACAGTGATCATTCGGCAGCCGAAATGGCATTTGGAGGAGTTGAGCTGTAGGCCTGCCCTTCTAAATACTTCCAGAACAGCTGACAGATAGGTAAGGTGACTATCGAATGACGGCGAAAATACAATGAAGTCTTCGAGATAATGGAAGCACGTTAACTATTCATAACCCATAGCAGAGAGTCCATTATTCTCACAAATGTAGCGGGAGCATTGCATAGGCCACAGGGTATTACCTTAAACTGAAAAAGCTCATCCGGTGTAAAAATGCAGTTTTTTATGGTCTAATTTGTGGACATAAATCTGCCAGTATCCGGAACGCAGGTCAATGGAGGAGAAGTAGGCAGACCCGTGAAGGCAATTGAAGGCATCGTTAATCGATGGCAGTGGGTAAACGCCCTTGTGCATGATCTTGTTCAAGTTACGGTAGTCGATGCAGATGCGCCTGCTTTCATTCTTCTTTTTTACTAGAACGACTGGTGAGGCTTATGGACTGCAAGACGGTTCAATGACGTCTTTTTGAGCACTTTATCCACGTCACGCTAGATCACATGTCGCTCAGCATGTGACACGCGATAAGGACGTCGTTAGATTAGGCTGGCTTTTCCTGTGCGGATCTTGTGAGTAACAACTGACGTCTGACCTGAAAGGCTGTCGCCAAAGTCAGAGATGTCCCTGAAGGATGCCAAGATACGCCGGATTTCGGCTGCCTATGCAGGTCTGGCGCGATCCTCTTGTCAAAGTCAGCATTGGTGTGGCTCTGTGAAGAGGATGCTGCAGCAGGCAAAGGATCACTTACAACGAATGCAGAAACAATGTTCACTGACGGAAGAGACGTTGGGTAGAGTCATGCCATCTGGAACAACTGAGCTCACCAGCATAAATTCAATATGGACGTTAGTCGTAATTGTCAACAGAGTATGAAGAAGGGCAACATTTCTGTCCAATAAGACGTCGACAATCGGTAACAGCACATAATCGCCGTCGGGTACAGGAGGAAAAGACCTCATGGTTACATTGGTAACAGCTTGGGGCGCTAGGCAAATGTACTCAACAGAATACAAACGTGGTTGAAGTGTAGTTGAAGTGTCACAACAATATAGTAGGCCAAGCCAAAGTAAGCCTGTTTCACAGTCAATTAAAGCAGAGTGCGCGGCATGAAAGTCCATGCCCAGGATGCGTTCATGAGAGCACTTGTCGAGCACGGCAAAAAGCACAGCTGTGCAGCGGTCAGTAACGCTAACACATGCGGACCAAAACCCAAGCACAGGAAAAGTTCTATCATCGGTGACTTGGATGAGCGGCACTGTAGGTGGTGTTAATACCTTTTTAAGGCGACGACAAAGCTCCGAGTTCATCACCGAATTGTGTGTCCCTGTGTCTGCAAAGGCAACAACAAGTGCTTCGTCTACTTTAACTTCTATGAGGTTGTGTCGTGTCGGCATGGTCGGAGGATCTGGCTGGCGAATCTTCAATGCAGCATCACCTCTGTGAGCTGTGTCGTCTAGTTTTCCCCACTCAAGTGTGCAGTCGGTGAAAGAGGACGGCGATAATGGGGTGAGCGTGACGATGGGCGACGAGACAGCGCTCAGCGGGACTGGTTGTTGTGAGCAGATGGTGACTGCCAATACACCATTGACGAACCGTCACCAGGCCGAGGTGACTCTTGGTGAGTTCCAAAGTGGCCATCATCTGCCTCTGTGTGACCGTTGTAGCCATAGGAAGACTGACGCCAATACCACCTGATATTGCAATAGTGGGCCACTTGACCAATACGGTGGCAGTTAAAGTAAATAGGCAGGTAATCAGCAGTCCTCCACTCGGCGGGATTGTGAGGGCACGCTGGGAGCTTCTCGCCTTGGGTGTAGGAAACTGGCGGACGACGGTCACTCGGTCGGGAAGGTGCGGCGGCACAGACAGATTCCTGGCCAACGTTAGCAAGCTCTTGGCGAACGATAACATGCACTAAAGCATGGTGTAAGAATAGTTTAGGCGAGGTAACGCCACCACTCTTCACTTCGCCACAAAGCTGTGCTTCTAAAACCCATCAGCAGATGGCGCTAGCCACTAATTCCCGCTGGCGCAGCAGAGTCGGTAAAGCTCGGAGCCACCCTAGCTCGAGCTCGGTAACTAAGAAGCCACTTTGGCCTAGGTATGGCAGCAAATGTAGCTTTTAGGAAGCAGATCATTTAACAAAATATGTTCGTTGACCTTTCTGCCTTATAATAACGTATGATTGAATTCATTAGGCAGACAGCATTCATGTTTATGTAGCAAAAGCGAGGCAGCACGTCTGTGGCAATGTCCCAGTTGTCTGGCCGATATTTGCGGGGGTGACGGGAAGTTCTCTGAGACCGCCTGTTACGTCAGGAAATATGCGCAATATTTACACCTTCGTCACAGTCGCAGGCGGTCAAGAGTACAAGCCCAGTTTCTTTTATGCCTTTCGCGAGGGCCTTATTATGCGATAACATTAGCTTTGACGGTAAGCGCGCAAGAAATTAAGGGGATGAAAGTAATCCACATAGAACGCTAGCTACATCGCGGCTAAAAAAGTGGCTAATGAGTTGTGATATCTCATTTAACACTTTTTCTCTGTGTAACTTCTCATGTACATACGTCTTAGTATTCATTATGACTTCCTATGCTTCACGACACAGGCACACACATTTGCGTGGGTGACAATCATAAATTTCGTTTACTTGGATTGAAGCAGCAGCGCATTTATAAATGGAACACTTTACATTCAAACACAAAACAAAGGGTACATTACTGTACACCATGATCACAATACACACAAGCACTATTGTACAGATATTACACATAATCATTTCTCTTCTCCTGAGTCAATTATACTAGTTTCGACAATTTCCGCAAATCTTGGGGTTTTTTTTCACATGCTTATTCTTTAGCTGGCTGCAGTACTGACGCATGCGTAGGCACGCATAATAGTGCAATAGCTAGGCAAGAACTTCTTCTTTGTGAGCAGCACATGAAAACGTGGAGTTGAAATTTTCTAGCGCTGCATCTGTCGTGCGATCATATACATCTCTCTCACCAGCATGTTTTGCGAAGTGCTCCTCAGCCTTTTTAAACAGAAGAAATAGATGCACATTCGGATGTGTTAGCCCCCCTTTGGTTTCGCAATTTACTAAGTCAGCTTCTGGTAGCTTTAAGATATCTTTCCGCCCAGCCAAGGCCTCCTTAGAAATTTTACAGGAAGCTTGAGTGGCAAGCTTTCGCGACACAAATCCAGTGACATAATATAATACAATGTAGTCCACGACAGCGGCATCAGAATAATCATGCTGAAACACTTCATTGCACTCCCACGTTTCCTCACTGATGAGACCATCTAGTTTCTCCTTGAGGTCATGCATTTTATCAGTGCTCTGGAAAGGTGCAGACTAGAACGCCTCTCTTAAATCATTCAGGGCGAGAAAAGCGGATTGGTTTTTCTCAGAAAGGACACAGTTACCAAACTTTGGTGGCTTGAGCAAAGAATGCAAGGAAAGCATGCAGTAAAGTTGCAAAAATGTCGGAAATGCTGGATGCTCATTTTGGCCACCTGCCTGTCTTATAATACCCAAAAAGCATTCCAATGGATCCTGGTTCATTTTGGCTGAGAGGACATACGTGAACTCGCGCTCTTTCAGAATAAATGCTGACAGTTCCTGAACAGACTTAAGTGTAACACGCAGGCCTTCGGCAGTAGACTGCATTCAAAAAATCTTTGTGGGTCACCCTCACTACTTCCTGCTCCTAGCTATGAAGCCACCTAGATACTGACTCAAGAACATGGAAGTTTTGCATTCAAGAATGAGGCATTCTGCAGCAAAGCGACGATTGAGGGCATCAAAAAGATCATTCATTAGGAACGTTAACTCCACAGTCTATTCTACATTCTCAAGCCTTGGCGCTCCTTCTCCATGCATAGAAAGAAATTCCCTTAGCAACTGAGTTGCTAAAAAATTGTGTGGGCAACTTCACTCGCATTTTGAGCATATGTGATGGATTAACATGCGAGTAAGTCAAATTTCGACACACCCTAAGCTCTGCTGCGTTTTTCACGTCCGCAACAAAAAGTGCATCATAGCATGACCACTTCACCATTTCCCCATTTACTTTCAATATTTTCTCATAATGAAGATAATTTCCAGTACACGTAAACAAGTAAAGGGTATCTGCCACAACTTACACTCTTCTGGGTGAATCTAGGGGATGCTCGAAAACATTTACGAAATGTCCTAGAGCACCGCTTACCCCAAGCTGCTTCCACATGGCCCTATTGGTAGATGCACCGTCATAGACCACACCATGAACATAAACTCCTGCCTGCTCTAAATACTCAATGCACTGAAGCAACAGCTGTGCAATTAGTGTACCCTAAGTTGCACCTTTTAATGCAAATACTGCCACTGGTTGCAAATAGCTGTCAGCAAAAGGGGCAAAAGCAAACGCTAGACCAGAGTCAGCCAGCTCATCGCCTTGTCCACCTTGGTCTCCATAATCAACAAGACCAGCATATGTCATGTTCTTCGAGTTTACAGTCATCTCTTTCGCAACCTGTATCTCATCTATAATAAGCATCCCTCTGCGTTGAAAGGGTGCCTTCTTTGCCAATTTAACCTTGAGAGCTTTAAAAAAGTTCTCATCAAAGCTACATTTCAGCCCCACCATGTTTATATATCTTCTAATGGTGGTTATGCATGACATCAGCAATATGTTATTGCTTCGTAAAAATGCTTAAGTAGAGGGGCTCATGATGTTAAGCGAGTGGCATAGGAGTAGCCAGTCCTTTGTATAGCACCTGTTATTCTTCATAGTGCACTTAGCTGAAGATATACATTCTTGCACAAGAAGAAGCTGCATCAGTGGAATATCAAAAGCTTGGAGTTTCTTCTTAATAACCTCTTCTTGCAGTTTCATTACTTCAGCTTTACTTTCTTCCAGTTCTTTAGTAATTGGTTAGTTGCGCTTCAGTAGCTGTGCTTGTGCCTTCTTTAAAAGGACCTTGCTTGACGCAAGGTGTCAGTTTTGTGTTTCTCGGTAGGCGACACAGACAGCCTGATCAGCTTCAGTGGTTGCCGTTGTTCCGCTTGAGCAGCTTGCCGCTTCGCATGAATTCTGAGAGTATCAAAGAGACTGCTGAATACACGATATATGCTTCCCTTCGGTAACAACACTTGGAACCGTTTATGCCTCCACTCGCTTAGGCAGTCAATGAAAGCAGACTCGGAGCCACAGAAGGAAACTCCTTCAAACTGGGTCCTCCACCACAAACATCTACACTGTCAACAGTTTTGAAGATATGTTCAATTTCCGATGTCGTTGCAGAAAAATTATTTAAACCCATTGCGCTACAATCAATCGGCTTGCCAAATATATGCACCCTCACACTCATGTCACATTTCACATGCACAGATTTTCTTTTGAAAAACACACATGACCCATGACTTGCACGAAGCAGAGAGGCATTGTGGAACACGAGGTCACGATACCCTTTTAAGTGAATGCGATGAACACCTCACGATGGCGTCGGAAGGCACAAAGTTGGTGCAGCGCAGAACATTTCATTGAAAGGTGACATGCCGGGGTCACTTGCCGCGACGACATCGCTGTTTTCGTTGACTATAGCATCTGAATTTGGGGCTGTTGCTGCTTGCTGCTCGGCTTGAAACCCGCTGCTGGTTCCGCTCCTGGTCCCACCTGTACTCGCAGAGGAAGCTGCACGGCAAGCATGCCGCCTTGACTGTTTTCGAGGACTCCTTATCTTCTTAGACAAGTAAGTAGGCGCTCCTTCGAAAATAGATGGCACGGCGTCCTTTAATAGTCTTGCTTTTCTGCTGTCAGACATCAGAATGTGGCCATTAATTTCTGCAGACCATGCTTTCAAAATAAAATGCGGGGCGGAATGTTTTTAGCACTGTCCATTGAAGGACGTGGTCCTTGCGAGGGATCACCCGCCTCTATGCTTTAAGCCTTGTTTGATCTTGTGGTGGCGTAAAAAGCGAAAACTTTTCTTTGCACGACCTACACCCTGTGTTGAAGTAGGTTACAAAGCACTTCCCCATCTTGAATCCCGCTAGCACAGTGGACAACGATGGATGTCGAAGTGCCAACTTACGCGAGCACGTTCAGAAAAACAAGCAACAACATGTCCAGCGTGGAGTGAAGGGGCAGCAAGAATGTGGCAGGAATATTAGCAAGTGGCGCCGGTGGGTGGTATAGTTTAGCGCGCCCTTTCTGGAGCGGTTTTCTAACCAGAACAGCATGGGCTTCTTCCCACGAAGCCTTCTCTATGCTCCATTCTCTCACCTAAACTATTCTTACACCGTGCACTAAAGGCACCATTTGTGAGCTGGACTCACAGGCACAAGAGAAAGTTGAAGCAAGAAACGTAGCCTCGACTCCTCAGTGGATGATCTTCGTTACCTGCTCTGTAGTCAGCGGTGCCTCTGGTACAGGCATGTCTTCGTAGGAAAATGTT